CCAGCATGAGTTGATTTTTGTGAGGGGTGAGAGGTGTGGATCCAGCTTCAGTCTTCTACATGTGGCTAGCCAGTTTTCCCAGCACCATTTATTGAATAAAGATTCTTTTCCCCAGTGTATGTTTTTGTCTGCTTTGTCAAAGATTAGATGGCTATGAGGATGGTTTTATATCTGGGTTCTCAGTTCTGTTCCACTGGTCAATGGCTCTGTTTTTGTGCCAGTACCAAGCTGATTTTAATATTACAGCTTTGTAATAGAGTTTGAAGTCTGGTAGATTGATGCCTCCCATTTTGTTTTTATTACCTAGAATTGTTTTTGCTATGCGGGGTCTTCTCTGGTTCCATATGAAGCGTAAAATTAATTTTTCTACATCTGTGAAGAATGATGCTGGTATTTTAATAGGAATTGCATTGAATCTGTAGATCACTTTGGGTAGTATAGTCATTTTAACAATGTTGATTCTACCAATCCACGAGCATGGTATGGTTTTCCACCTGTTTATGTCTATATCTAGAAAACCCCAAGGATTCAACCAAGAGGCTACTGGAACTGATAAATGAATTCAGTAAAGTTTGAGGATACAAAATCAATACACACAAATAGAGGCTTTCATATACACCAAAAGCAGTCATAACGAGAACCAAATCAAAGATTCAATCCCCTTCACAATAGCAACAAAGAAAATAAAGTACCTAGGAATATATTTAACTAAGGAGGTAAAAGACCTCTACAGGGAGAACTATGAGACATTGAGGAAGGAAATAGCAGAACACGTAAACAGGTGAAAATTGTTTTTTAATTTAATAGAAAGAATGTTCCTTCTGTTAGGAGAATACTAGATTAGTTTAATGTATTAATTTGTGAGAATATTAGGAATGTCTGTATTTTGCTAACTTCCCCGATAACCAGAATCATCTCAGAATGTGTGTTTGTTGTCTGATAGCTTTCTTCTCTTTGGATTGGCCAGTAGAAGATGGTAGCCAAATTAGTAATCTGCCTTCAGCTATTGTGAAGAACACCATGGCTTGCATATTGTGTTGTAACTATATTCTTGACTTTTATTCCTCCTCTGCCTCCATTTAATGACTATTCATTTTATATTGTATGTTGTCATCAAAGTACAGAACATATAGCTCTTTGACAAATATTCAGTTTGTTCTTTGTGAAAATAACATTTTAAAAATATAGGCAATCATGTATACATTATGTCTTACTCCTACAAAGACAGTACTTATCCTTTAATGCTAATATTTATTTTACAAAGTTGAAGTTATTACAGTACCACACTGTTTTGATTATTGTAGCTTTTTACTAAATTTTGAAACTGGAGAAACATGGTTTATACTGGAGAATGTTCCATGTGCAATTGAGAAGAATTTTTATTCTGCCCTTATTGGGTAGAGTGTTCTGTAAATGTTCATTAGGTGGAATTGATTTATATTGTTGTTAAATTTTCTTTTTGTTCTTCTTTCTACGTATTCAATTTATTATTGAAAGTGTGGTATTGAAGTACCTAACTATTACTGTTGAATTGCCTGTTTTTCCTTTTAACTGTTAATTTTCACTATATATTTTGAAGCACTGTTTATGTTTTTATATATGCATACATGTTTATAATTATCTTCTTGATGGATTGACCTTTTTATCATTTAAAAAATGTTCTTTTTCTCTAGTAACAATTTTTGTATTAAGAAACTCTTTTGT